TTTCTTTTCCTTTTCTATTTTTTCGTATTTCCGTTTTTTTTCCATTTTCTTTTTCTATTTTCCGTATTTTCTTTTCTATTTTTCCGTATTTTCTTTTTCTATTTTTCCGTATTTTCGTTTTCTGTTTTTTTTTTTTTTTTTTTTTTCATTTATTTTTCTATCTTTTCGTATTTTCTTTTTCTATTTTTCCATATTTTCTTTTTCTTTTATTCCCGTATTTCGTGTTTTTTTTCATTTTCTCTCCTACTCTTCATTCCTCTTCGGCTTTCATGCTTGGGTGAAAGACGCGAGCGAAGAAGGAACTCGGAAGGATTTAAAAGATAAATACAGATTAAGGATTGCCTTGTCATTGTAGTGTATTCTGTCTGTCTGTCTCTCTCTTTTTCTTTTTCTCTCTCTCTCTTTCTTTCTCTCTCTCTTTTCTTTCTCTTCCTCTCTCTCTTTTCTTTCTCTTTCTCTCTCTTTCTCTCTCTCTCCTTCTCTCTCTTCTCTCTCTCTCTCTCTCTCTCTCTCTCTCTCTCTCTCTCTCTCTCTCTCTCTCTCTCTCTCTCTCTCTCTCTCCTCTCTCTGCTCTCTCCTCTCCCTCTCTCTCTCCCCTCTCCACCTCCTCCTCCTTCCTTCCCTCCCACCCTCCTCTCTACCCCTCCCCTCTCCCCCTTCGTTTCCATCTCTCCTTTTCCTCTTCTCTCCCTCTCCCCCCCCCTATTTCTCCCCCCTCCCCTCCCCCCCCCCGGCCCCCCCGACCCGAGGCCTAAAGAACTACTACGCAGTTATGGTGTTTGTTTATGGGGAGGGAGAAGGCTTGAGGTGTGGACCTGGTGCGTTTGTACTTGGGGGGTGGGGGGGGGTGGGGGGTGTCGAGGGTTATGGGGGCCGTTATTAAGGGTGGAAGTAGAGTTTGATTACGTAGCAAAAGTTCGGGTTTGGTTGCGCACACTCGTGTATTTCATATACGGTTTTGTCTGTACACGCATGCGCGCACGCACGTACACGTATATGTATTTCGCGCATGTATACACAGATACACGTATACACGTGCAAATACACACGCACGCGCGCACACACACACACACACACACACACACACACACACACACACACACACACACACACACACACACACACACACACACAACACACACACACACACACACACACACACATAAACACACACTTAAACACACGTACATACATTCAGAGAGAGAGAGAGGAGAGAGAGAGAGAGAGAGAGAGAGAGAGAGAGAGAGAGAGAGAGAGAGAGAGAGAGAGAGAGAAATAGATGGA